GATGTGGTCATAAGAAAAGGCAAGCACAGAGTTTAGCTCTTCCGGCTTCTTGACTGAACATTAAAAAGATTTGGAAAAACATGTAAAACATGCCACCACCTCACAATTTTTATTTTTGTTTTGCAAAGCATAGTTATTTTCCATATAATTTTATGTTGGGTTTAGTACTGTCATTATAAAATGAATTAATGAGTAAATATTTACAAAATTTCTCAGATTCAATTTCTAATATGGGGTCCTTAAAAAGAGTATAAATTTTTAGACATATTAGTACAGACCAATTTCTTTTACATTTAGCTAAAGCTGCTATTCACTTTGAAAATGCAGAAGGTAAGTCTATAAAACCAGTTCAGTATCACTATCAGGGGACAGGAGTGAATGTCTAAATCCATGATTCAATATTTCTTCAAACAGATAATTGTAAATCATAAAGATACACTATTTCTAAAACCTGCCAATTTCAATCAAGAGAAAACATAGCCACGTGAATACTTGGTAAGTGAAAACACCATAAAAGACATTTACTCATCTTTTAAAATAACTGAATATATAAAAGATTCTTGTAATAAAGTCACTTTAGTATTTTTTTTTAGATGAAAGTCTAGAACAAAGCATTGGCAATCAACAGTTAAGGAAGAGACAGACTATAAGGAGTCTATATAAAAACAAAGAGACTGAACAGAAAGACAGAAAATCTGATGAGTGATAGATGGAAGCCAAGGGGAAAAGTACTTCAGGAAGACAGGTTCTTGAATGTATTATGTGCTGCACAAAGGTTATAAAAGATGGAGACAAGAATGTCTCAATTTATTTAGCAAAGAGGGGATTATTGGGGACCTTGAAAAACAACTGTAGTAAAGACATGGGTCAGAAGACAAATAAATATGTGATGAAAAAGTAGAGACAGTAAGGCATAGAACCCTTTCAAGAATTTACTTACAAAGTGGGAACAAACAGGGTGATGGCTAAAAGTATCATGGGGAGAGGAAAAAATGTGTTAAGATGCATGTTAAAAGATATAAAAGAGAATGTATCCTATATAATAAAAGCATAATATGCAAATCAACAGCGGAACTGACCAGTCGCTATGACGCGCAATGACCAACAGGGGGCAGACACTCAACGCAGAAGCTGCCCCCAGCCCGCAGGCCCCAGGCCAGCGGGGGGAGGGGGGGGCCCTATTGCCCTGCCGGTCGCCGCGCAGATTAGCCCTGATCGCCGGCCAGGCCTAGGGACCCTACCCATGCACATTTTTCATGCACCAGGATTCTAGTATTAAATAAACAAGATTGTAAAGGTGGGAGGAATTTGGATCCAGAATACAGGGGAATATAACCTTATACAGCAGGGGGGAGGCCTCTTCCACAGAACAAAAGGGAAATAAAAAAGTGTAGGTGTACATAAAAAACTAGTTTGTAAGTGATTATTGGCAGGAAGTTGAGGGAGCTTGTGGATGAAGAGTTCTATCACCTCTGTGTAGTAAAGAGCAAGCAGGACAAATAAAGGGATTAGAAACTTAAGGAGAGGTTTTTGAAATAGGCATGAAAACATGGAGAAAATGACAGGTGTTTCTGAACCTTTTAAATTTTCAATAAAATGCATGCATTATTGTAATAGAGAAATTTTTACTTTTAAAGATAGGAGGTTCCCAGGAAATTTCAGAAAAATTTTAATCCAAAAACAATTAAAATAAAAAGAAAAGAATGTTGGGTATGTTAAGAGTTAATTAATTACTATTCCAGAAAAGTTAGTTATCCAATTTTTGAAGAGTCAAGGTTTCTAGTATTTTATTTCAATAGTAGAGGCCCAGTGCACAAAAATTTGTGCACTGGCGGGGGGGGGGGGGGGTGTCCCTCAGCCCCACTTGTGCCCTCTCAGAGTCTGGGACCCCTCGGGAGATAACGACATGCTGGCTTAGGCCTGCTCCCAGGTGGCAGAGGGCAGGCCCAATCCCTAGGTGCAGCCCCTGGTCGGGCTCAGAGCAGGGCTGATTGGGGAATTGGGGCACCTCCCCCTGTCATGCACAGAGCAGGGTGGATCGGGAGGTTGCAATGCCACCCCCAGTCACGCTCAGGGTAGGGCCGATTGGGGGGTTGGAGCGCCGCCCCCTGTCACACTCAAGGCAGGGTCGATGGGGAGGTTGCGGCGCCACCCCCTGTCACGCACAGAGCAGGGCCCATCAGGTGGTTGGGGAGCTCCCCCTGTCACACTCAGGGCAGGGCCGATGGGGAGGTTGCGGCTCCACCCCGTCACACACAGAGCAGGGCCCATGGGGGGGTTGGGGCGCCGCATCCTGTCACACACAAAGAGCAGGGCTGATCAGGGGGTTGGGAAGCTCCCCCCTATCAGGCACAGAGCAGGGCCGATCAGGGGGTTGGGGCGCCTTCCCCTGTCACGAACAGAGCAGGGTGGATAGGGAGGTTGTGGTCCCGCCCCCTGTCACACACAGAGCCGCAGGGCGATCAGGGGGTTTGGGCGCTGCCCCCTTTCACGCTGCTCCAGGGGACAGGAGGCCTCGTGGCTCCGCTGATCCCAGTGCTGGGAGGCCTCGCGGCTCCGCTTGACACCGGGGCAGTGAGGCCTCGCTGCTCCGCTGATCCCGGTGCCAGGAGGCCTCGCGGCTCCGCTGACCCCGGTGCTGGGAGGCATATTACCCTTTTCCTATATAGGATAGAGGCCTGGTGCACGGGTGCGGGCCAGCTGGTTTGTCCTGAAGGGTGTCCTGGATCAGGGTGGGGGTCCCGCTTGGGTGCCTGGCCAGCCTGGATGAGGGGATGATGGCTGTTTGCAGCTGATCACACCCCCTTCAGGGTGGGGGTCCCCACTGGGGTGCCTGGCCAGCCTGGATGAGGGGATGATGGCTGTTTGCAGCTGGTCACACCCCCTTCAGGGTGGGGGTCCCCACTGGGGTGCCTGGCCAATCTGGGTGAGGGAATGAGGGTCGTTGTCAGGCTGGCGGGTGACTGAAGCTCCCACCCTCTCCTTTTTTTCTTTTTTCTTTTTATTCTGGGATTTATTTACCTTCTATGGCTGTCACTGGAACTGAGAGCCGGCTTTAGCTCTGAGGCTCGGCTCCAGCTCTGAGACCTCGGCTGCTGAAAGCAGGTATCTGCGTTTGTTTAGGTTCTATAATTGTAACACTGTTGCGGTCCTGCTCACTCCAGCTCTGATGGCTGAAAGCAGGTTTCTGGGGTTTATTTACCTTCTATAATTGCAACATTGTTTCTTAGAGTGCAAGCTCAGAGCCCAGCAGCGGCAGGCGGGGAACCTTGGCTTCCTCCATCACTGGAGCAAGCAAGCCTCCTGTTTGCTTCAGCTGCCTGGCTGCCGCAGCCATCTTGGTTGGCAGTTAATTTGCATATCTCACCGATTAGCCAATGGGAAGGGTTTCGGGGTTATGGTCAATTTGCATCTTTCTCTTTTATTAGATAGGATATTAACTAATTGATCCAACCACAATGGAACATTACAGCTGCCTTTACAACTACAGGGTGTCCCCCCAAAATGTATTCACACACTTTGAATAATTACAAAGGGAGTGTTTATTAAAATACATTTCATTTTCAAAATTGAGCTATCAGCTGTTAAAGGGTGTATACATTTTTCGGGGACACCCTGTATAAGCGGTATTAGATTGGCTTATGAAATCCCAATGAACTAATCATAAGAGAGTTTCCTATTTGTTCTCAGAAGCACTCTTCAACAGACAATGCTGTTCAAAGATGTAATAAATTCCCTTAACACTCCGGTGTGGGGTGAATTTCCCGCCAAAATATAAGATGGCTCTGTCTTTTGGTTTTGTTCCATCCACCAAAAGGGTGGATTACAAACAAATATTTGGTAATACGCAGTTACAATCGGCCCGAGTTTACACGTTTCCCGCACTCCACCGCAAATCTATATGAACCGAGTTAAAGACGGCTCCCGCGGAGTACGCGCAATTCACGCGAGCCGACTTAACTCGTTTCCCCCACTCCAAGTGTTAAAAAGTATGATGGTCAAATTACTGGAAAGGCATTTAGGGTACAATTCAAGTATTAGACTATGTAAGTTTTCAGAGATTGTTCTTAATAACATGCGTAACTATTTTAGGCTTGCAGCTCTTGACTTTCAACAAGGATTCAACTCACCTATGGTAGCTCAAAAACAGCTACAGAAAAATATGTAAACAAATGGATATGGCTGTGTTCCAACAAAGCTTTTTTTGCAAAGAAGTGCCTGGTCCACAACCTTTAATTTTATAACCCCTGGTCTAAGTTTTTAGCTTACTGCTGAGAAGTTGCTTAAGTTCTTAACTCTTTAGTTATGTTATGTATAAGAAATAGCAAAGCTATTGAATTAGTGAGATAATTATATAAATTATATTAAAATGCCTAGCACACCCAACACATTCAACAAATGAGTTCCCATTCTCTATATTTGGTAATGTGCGGCCATAGTGCTCACCTTGAAGAAGATCATAAAAGTGAACATTTGTGGTGTGGAAAATAAATCCTTATTTGTTAAGACAATGACCCAAAGATGATTTTGCTAATTTTTCATGAAAAAATCCCAGGTCTTAATTATTATTGGATTTAAATCTCTTTTGAAAAATGAAAGTCAACAATACCTTTTAAATAATTTCCCCAGGTCTTTAAAATTTTGTAATCTTAATATTTTATGAAAAACAACAAACATAAATTTAGATTTAATTTTTTAACCCTGATGTTGAAGAACTGAAAAATCTACAAATGTAAAAAAATTCCAAAGAATTGTGATGGTGCACAATAAAATTCTAGGAAGAAAAAAAGGATAGTGAAGTTGAAAAATGCAATGTAAACAGCTTTTTCTGCCTTTGTTCTTCTACTATATGCCATTTTCTACTGACAGGGAGATCACAGTTGAAAAGTGCTTTGAACCTACTCATCTATGATGGGCACTTGGGCTGAAGCGCACAAAAAGTGTCTGCAAAGTGAATAATCAATAAATTGACTACATAAACAAAGATTTTTGAAACTTACCATCTCTATTAGTCTCCCACTCTACATTTTCTTCTTCACTTTCTGGAGTTCTCTCCTTGGTGATTTTTATGTCTTCCTTTTCTCTATGTCTCCCCCTTGAAGATTCTTTCTAAAAAGTACATAAATACATAGAAATTACTGTTATTTTTTTAAAAACTGAATGAGATAGTTATTATAATACAAAATATTTCTAACTTCATCTTTGTTTTAACAAAGAATCAGTTTTGCAAATAATCACTTATCCACTAAGGAGAGGATGTGACAAGTTCTAATGTAGCACCGCAATGAAAAGACATTATAGAATACCTATTTCACTGAAGAATAGCGATGTAGTACATATAAGGAGTAACTAAGATTTTAAAATATACAGAGAAAATCTGTTATTTTAAACTTTGATAGTGTGCTACATACTTTTTGTGTGTGAAATTCACAGGGTAAAAGACAGTTTAAAATGGATAATATACACAAGGGTTTGTAACTTTAACATAACGGCATTTTCCTACACACCCTAAAGATAAATCCAAACTCATTAAAAATGCTTTCAAAAAAAGAGACTTGCCCTATTTTGATGAAAACAAAAATGGTAGCCAAAACAGTTAGAAATCAGTGCATATATTACACATAAAAAAAGGTTTTACACTTTATTCTAGGTGTAATAGCAGCCTACAGACAAAACAGGAGAATAGTAATTAGCTTATAACATTTAATAAACACATATCGCATAACAGAAAAATTTCAAACCACAATTTACTAAGTGGTAAAAAAAATAAAGTAACCAGTATCATATAATTATCTTCCCACCCACAGTATCACTTTTATTAACCCTAAATCCTAACTATGAAAGACACTAACACACAAAGACAATAAAGGGTAAAAGTTCTTTTGGGGCATTATCAGACATAAAATTTGGCTGCTTAACCCTTTGCACTCCGAACCATTCTGGATATTGGCTACCAGCTACTCGACGCTACTTTGCAGCGGAAACGTGCATTTACAGACCCTCGTATTATTTAGTATAATTTTGGAACCAAGTAACGTATTATAATGATATTGGACTTATATGAATTGGGTGACATCGAGGAATGTATATTTGCAAAAAAAACAATATTTTATTGTTTATAATTTTGTACAGTATGATAAGTTTTGTAACACTCCCCAATATGCATTGCAGGCTGATTAGTGCATGTTTGACAGTAATAAGTGGTTTGACGCCTGCCGCCAGGTGTTTTCCTGTTAGAACACACAATGCAGTCCCGTTTTCTTTGTCCCACATCGGGAATATGTAGTTTATTGTTTAATCCGACACAAAACCCGCTGACATTTCTTGTATATATCTTAGTAATTTTATGATATTTTGATTTAATTTCTTGTGCCATTTCAAGATAAAACTTCAGGGAAACATGCATGTCTCAAAAAGTTGCGTTGAAATAACTCAATTCCCCGTAATCACTAATAAACTGCAATGTCCCTGAGAGGGGACATTCGAGTGATATGCTAGAATTCCGATGTCCCCTGAGAGGGGACAGCGGAGTGCAAAGGGTTAAAACACAAATTAATTTATCCTTGAAGACTTCTTTTATTTTTTCCATTTTATTTTTTTATTTATGTATTTGTTTATTTATATTATGTATTGATTTTGGTGTACAGTTTAGTGGTTAGACTATTGAAACTAGTAAATTTTATATCTTTAGGTGGCAGTCATTACTTGATCAATGAAATGACATATGATTGCTGGTAAGACAACACAAGCTGACATAAATCGTAAAAACTTACATGAGTTGAACCAGACATGAAAAAATGGTAAAAGGTCCAAAAACAAAAAACAAAACAAAAACAACTCCTATTTATAGAGACAAGAGGAAAAAAGTAACATTATTCTTAAAATATATTCTATGGACTATCAAAAACTATTCTATATACCACATAACTTTTGAATGTTCTGTGGATTAAATCCACTATAAATATATATTCGTGTGTAATATAAAAATATTTTTATAGGTGATTATCTCCAAATTGTTCAATAATATATTGTTGTTTTGGTCTACTTAAACTATCATGTAATATCCAACTACAGATTTACTTGAAAAGAGTTTCTGAGCAGTAGTGCTTATACTGTAAAATAAACATTCTGTGAAATTATAACAGAACTAGTGGCCTGGTGCATGAAATTCGTGCACATTGAAAGGGAATTAATTAGAGGAACGTAATTTGGACTCACTATCTAGTATCAATAATATGTGAGCATTTCTGAAATTCAATGACATGAATTTTAGCTATTACTTTGCCAAATAAATGGAATTTACAGATATCATTTAAAAGAGCATTCAGCTTAATATTAAAAACTCTGGCTACCAAGACAGGTCTGTTTTCAACTTTTTGCCAGCGTTGTAAATTGTTTGCAATATCTGCCCATTTGGGGTTGCATGTCACGGTTACAAATAAATCGGGCTTGCCATACTTCGTTACAATTGCCATAGCATCCTGATATCGCTGATGCATATTTCTGGGACTACCCTCAGAAGATGATGGAAGTATTATCATTTGACCAATCGGCACATTGTCATTTTCAGATCTAGATTTGAGATAATCCATCAAACCACTGTATTTTTCAACTCTCAACTTAGATTGGTTTGCTTTGATGAAATTTATCCGATTGGCCTCCATTTTTTAATACAAATCCACGATAAACTGTTGAGTTAATTTTCCTGCATTTAAAATAGGATTGAACGTGTCCCGCACAGAGAGGTGAAATCCTTAATACTCCATCTGTGTGACTCGTGTCCTTACATTTTGTCTAGTATTATTGTCGATTACACGGTTGTCTCTGAGTCTTAATGCAATATCTGTTCCCCAGCCTTTTTCACCATGTGGAAAAAGAATAGGATATGTCATTGCATCTAATGTAGGAAACGGGATATTGATTTGTTTCATTTTAGTGGCATTTGGATTACTGGGATCTGGTTTACAATGAATGAGCAAGTCCCTTTCAAAAGGAGGTTCTCCATCTTCGTTTCTGAATATGACACCAACCTCGGTTACACGGGGAGAATTATATCTACCCAGGTCACTGTTACGGTCATATTTAATCGCCATTGTTACTTCTGTGGGAGCAATACCTTTCGCTGCTGCTTCAGATTGGGCTTCCTTTTCTACCTCATGTAGCATCTTGTACGATTTTGTTAATTCATTTATTTCATGCATGAGGTTGTTGATGTTGATCATGAGTCTTTCTGAGCAGCCCTGGTTTTCTGGCATTGCTAATCTTTTACTTGTAGCTTCAGCTGTATCCAAAAGATAGAGTTGAGCAAACTTCCGAGAAACACCATCCGAAGGATGTAAAGTTCCAGTATGGTGATAAACTTGTCCGTGTATTCTAAAACAGTATGGCCCATATCCTGATGGCGATGCAATATTTGCACCCATGGAAGCAAAAGCAAAAGAACTATTTATGGAACGAATATTTTCCATGAAATTTTTGCTGTCAGAATCTTTGTTTGTCATTAATCTTTTTAAATATGCCGGGTAATCTGGAAAACGTATATCATTTGGACAGACTTTCGCTTTGCTACAACATCGAGTAAATTTCCCATAGGATGGTTTTTCATCAAAGAAATTTAGTGATAGGCAAAATTCACATCGAACAGTCATTCCACCACAACTATGTTCGAGAATTGCATCCTCATGTACTCCATTTTCGCTGAGAAGGCAGTTCCTACCAGTATTGGTAGTACTTGTTGATGACTGTTCTCTCAACATATTCTGTCGTCACCAACGCCTTCTTTCAACTTCAAAGGCACGTTGGTCTTTAGACATTTTCTGTCGATGACGCCGGTGTTTTTCAACATTAGAGCAACGTTTTTCCAATAGCTCAGGGTTCCTCAAACTTTTTAAACAGGGGGCCAGTTCACTGTTCCTCAGACCGTTGGAGGGCCGGACTATAGTTTAAAAAAAAACAACTATGAACAAATTCCTATGCACACTGCACATATCTTATTTTGAAGTAAAAAAACAAAACTTCAAAAAAAAAAGGCTCTCCTAACTTCAAAAAAAAGGCCCTACTAACTGCAAAATAAAAAAAATAGACCTCTTAAGTTCAAAAAAAAAAAAATCCTAACTTGTTCTTACCTTGGTCCTCAGGCAGCAGCAGACTCTGCACAGGCAAGCTCGTGACTCGTCCGATCATACCCGAGACTGAGAGGAGGAGTCGAGACACAGAGAGAAGGAGGGGAGTCGAGAGTGCGGCGCACATTCCACACATGCGCACTGCGGGCCCTGGACGAGTCGGCTGCTAAGCAACAGGCAGCGGCGGCAAAAACACCCGGCGGGCCAGATAAATGTTTTCGGCGGGCCGCATGTGGTCCGCGGGCCGTAGTTTGAGGACCCCTGCAATAGCTGGTCTTCAGATACATTCTGTCACAGGCGCCGCCTTCTTTCAAGATCAGATGCACGTTGCTCTTCAGACATTTTCTGTCAATAATGCCGGCATCTTTCAGCTGCAGAGCTACGTTGTATCAACAGTTGTTCTTTAAACATAGTCCTACCTCTTTTCTGTCACAGTCTGAGATGCAGGTGAATAAGAGTCCTGGCTGTCAGACCGCTGAGAGCTGTTTGACCAATGGCTGATTCTGTGGGGGTGGGACTTCCTCCTCCCTGCCGTCAGTTTCCACAGTTGTGATGAGGAAGCTAGGGTGACAGAGGGAGCCACGCCCTCTAAGCCGCCCTCTCTCTCACTCTGCTCTATGTCCAGCGGCCTCCTGCTCTGCCAAGTCCTCCAAACCTCCCTCTCTCCGCCCACTCTCCCGCTCTGCTCTCCGCCGGCGAAGGTCCCGGGAGCCCGTGGGCATGGCTAGGCACGGCCGGCCTCACTTCTCGGGGCCAGTGATGGTCCCGGGAGCCCGCGGCTGCCGTCGCCTCTCAAGGCACTTGACACCTGCGTATGCAAATTGACCCGCCATATTTGTCTGGTTAAGTTGCATACTCAGGCCTGATTGGCTGGTGAGCGTAGCAGAGGGACGGTCAATTTACATGTTTCTCTTTATTATAGAGGATATTTTTAACAGATTTAGAACCAGAAATGTAATCTCATTAAATTTCATTAATAACAATTTA